TGGAGACTCGGGAAACAGTTGAAGTTACGGATCTGTTATTTTTGAATTAAAGCAAAGATCAATGAGCGATCGTATCCAAAGTGGTTGAAGTAACAAAACGGATATGGTTGATTCCATGGTTTGTGCCAACTTTGTTCCAATTGGTTAGGTCTTGATTTTAAAAAAATATCTCCTTTATAGTCACTGAAACGAAAACTTCATTAAGTGTTTCGTATGCCTGCGATATTTCTCTTGATATTTCGTTTGAAAAGAACTATTGATGAAACATTCAAGGGTACTTTTTTGCCAATTGTTTGATTAATATCTTTAAAAAAAGGTTCTAAGATCTTCGCTTCATTGTGATTAGATCATCCATTGCGTTCAAGATATAATTTTTAGGGCCCATACACCAATACCACCACCCCTACTATTTCTTGTCGACTTTGCTCCGCAAGTGTGGTAAGAGCTAAACTTGTGAATGAGAATTGTTTTATCTGTTATTAGAAGTTCATCTGTTTCATCTGTCAATGAGTCCTGATCTGTGATTCTGTCGAAGTGTCTTTGTGTTTTTTTAACATTTTGCGATATGTTTCCAGTCTGATTTCATTAAAAAGTGAATTCCATTTTTTAAGCAGCCTCGTGCAGCCGATTCTAGTTGTTTGATCGGTTCTGGAGTATTAACTTTGTGTGCTTTTGTTTTATGCAGCTTATGTGTTCTGAAGTCAAAAAAATTTTCCGGAGGTTCCATTAAACTCCTTTGGGCTATCACTAGCGCCATTGGAATCGTTCTGTTTAATAGTCAATCATGTGCTCTATCTAATCTTCTACGTAAAAACAGATTTTGTTTAACCGGTATGTTTGCTTATTTATTCGGTTCGCTTCGAAAAATTTGAGAGCAATTTTGCTATGTTTTAAATGGGATAACAATGCAGATATGATTTTCCTTAAATGGTTTGCACTACCTTCATGTGAACTATATAGTGAACTATAAAAAAAAACTATAAACAAAACTATAAAATATAGTGAACCAACATCTTTAGCGAATTTGCATAGTAGTTGCTAAACTTGTACTGAAAAACTTATATGTGGTTCAAACAAATTTCTAGATGTCTTTACATTTGAAAAACATCCATTTCATTTGAATTCAAAACGAGACGATTCTTTTTTATGTAAGCATCGAAGTCAGCTAGCATTTCTAAAGCGTAATCTTGAAAAAAAATTCATGATTTTTGGTTCAGTTTCAAACCCGTGTCATCGTCAGATTGAAAAGATAAATGAAAAAATCAATGATACAATGTTTTTAGTTCAGATTTTTGTTTCGTCTCTCTTACTCCCTGGTTGCGATACTACAGAAAATATTTAAAGCCGTTTGAAAAAATTTACAGCCGTTTTTGAGAAGTTTCTTGTTGATTTTTTTAAAAGTATTGTGAGATATTGATGTTAACGCTTCAGAATGATTCAAAAGAACAACGCTAGACATGTCATCATTGCGACCATCAAATTCTAGTATTTCTATCAGCGTGGTGCCGGCGTCGAGTGCAAATGTCTTTTTTTGAAAAAAAAAATCAATACTAATTGAAATCTTATTTTTGGCTAAGAACTCAGTTAGTTGTGTTAAAAAAAATTGTTCATCAAAGTTTAGCGAGAAAAAGCGTAAGCAAATGGGTCGACAGTTTTCTGTTACACCATCATTTCTTTTTTAAAAAATTTGTTCAAATTTTCTTAGCTAATCATGAAAAGTATTCGGCTTGAGGCATTCATTTATTACGAACTGTAGGTGTTCACCCATATTAGCAAAATTTAAACCCTCAATTCTCAATGATAGTATATACATAGAACCAATAGCTTTAATAATTTGTAAACATTCCCGTTACTGAAGTAGTTCTGTGGTAACTGGCCTGAAATCGGTTTTCCTCCAAACAAGGAAAACATTTAGCCCTAGCCATCTGAAATTTCAGCTTTGTATTGCCAAGTTCTGCAAACGTTTGATTTAACTTATTCGCTATATCAAGTTGATTATATGTTTGTTCGGCTGAAGATGATTTTGAGAATCCTCTTTTTGTGAGATTACTACAACTTCCGAAATTGCCGTTTAAAAGTTATTTTTATTTTTTTAACCTCTAAAAAAACTGTTTTCTAGTAAACATTCTCAGCACAATTTTTTTGTTTCATTGTTTTTCAATCCAATTGTTTTGCTTAATAGAGGTGACACTTTGTCTTTCATTATATAAGAAAAAGGAGAACAAGCTTTGTGCATCTGTTTGTCGGTTATTGACAGACCAGTCAGTACGTGCACAATCTTCATTGAAATTTGACCTCTAAATTTTTTTTGAGAATTCTGAAACACGAAAGTTTTCTTCTTTGTCATTACTGATAATTTTTATGTGAGAAAAAAACCTGGAGTTAATTGGAGATTCGGGAAACAGTTGAAGTTACGGATCTGTTATTTTTGAATTAAAGCAAAGATCAATGAGCGATTGTATCCAAAGTGGTTGAAGTAACAAAACGGATATGGTTGATTCCATGGTTTGTGCCAACTTTGTTCCAATTGGTTAGGTCTTGATTTTAAAAAAATATCTGCTTTATAGTCACTGAAACGAAAACTTCATTAAGTGTTTCGTATGCCTGCGATATTTCTCTTGATATTTCGTTTGAAAAGAACTCTATTGATGAAACATTCAAGGGTACTTTTTTGCCAATTGTTTGATTAATATCTTTAAAAAAAGGTTCTAAGATCTTCGCTTCATTGTGATTAGATCATCCATTGCGTTCAAGATATAATTTTTAGGGCCCATACACCAATACCACCACCCCTACTATTTCTTGTCGACTTTGCTCCGCAAGTGTGGTAAGAGCTAAACTTGTGAATGAGAATTGTTTTATCTGTTATTAGAAGTACGTCTAGCCACGTTTCAGTGAAAACAGACTATTCTCCAGCAGTTTTTATAAAAACGTTTGTAACATAAATTTTGATTTTGACACTTCTGACGTTTTGCAATAGAAGAAGCTTTCTAAAACGTACAACTTAGGTAAATTTTAGAGAATTCATTTTAAGTTGAGTGGCCCAAATTGCTTTGTAAATTATATTAAGTCTGAAACTTATTTAAAAACTTAAAATTCAACTTTTTTCTCATCAAAGTCGTTTCTTTCCTCTCATCTCAAGCATTAGTGAATGGAATTAAAAGGGTATGGCTTATATGTCCTATGCATATGCATAAGCCCAAGGTTAGAAGATTTTTAACCTCTGTTTTGTGTGGTGTCACTTTGTACATCTTATTTTTTGTACGTCCGCGTATAGTTGTCCATTTGTTTGGCATTGAAAAATACCTGATGTTTTGAACCTTTTTTGAAAGCCGCTAAAATTTAGAAAAACACCATCATCCAATACGTCATGCTTTTGGTATGCACACTTCACTTTGTCCAAGTGTAGAGGCCATCTAGTTCATCAGCAGTATTTGATAATTGTTCATTGAGAGGTTCAATAGTATAATTGTGTGATTCCATCCCAAAAAAAAATTCTTTCAACGAGTGGAATTTGTTATTTTATAACATAAAGGCATATCAGCTCTTGCTAATATGCCTTTATATATTGTATTAGGGCCTCTATGAGTTATCAAGGCTTGCACCATCCATCACGGAGTTATTAAGGAGCTATCAAGGAGTTAGCCAATGCACCATATTGATGAATATCACCTTCAAGATTCTTGATTTTTGCCGATGGATAACTATTTAAAGCTGTTCTGTTTGGTATATCCGTTTGTTTCACTTTTTGAACGTGTTAGTAGTCTTTATCAGTGTATGAGAGAACCTCGGAGTAAGTTTTGGGAATAATGTTTTATTAGACTGTGCGATACTATTGAGTTGACTTCCAGATCTTTCAATAAATTTTTCGATATTTTTTTCAGTTAGTTTTTGTTCGTCGCCATTTCTTTCCTTCATCTGACAAGCATTTCACAGAAAAGAAAATGTTTGTGCGCGCGTGTCCTGCTTTAATTTTTTGTGTTTCGCCCATGAGTTAGGTTTTCCTTGCCTTAAAACCGCAGATTAAATTCTACATGAGATTTTTTGACTTCATTGTTCTGCTTACTTTGGATTGTTATGTCTAAGAAAATTGTGTCTGCACTACGTTATAGGTAAAAAGTGAAATTTTTATAGCAAAAAAAAAATTTTATTCGGAATCGTTTGTCTGAGCATATAATTTAATTGGCGAAACTATTATCTGCCCGCTGCCCGTGCATGAGAAAAAAAATGGTCTCTGAGCTGTTTAGAGCAGTGAAGTAATTCGTTAACCATGGATACTCTCTCTCTCTCTCTCCTTCCTCTCTCTCTCTCTCTCTCTCTCTCTCTCTCTCTTTCTCTCTCTCTCTCTCTCTCTCTCTCTCTCTCTCACTCTCTCTTTCTTTCTCTCTCTCTCTCTCTCTCTCTCTCTCTTTCTCTCTCTCTCTCTCTCTCTCTCTCTTTCTCTCTCTCTCTCTCTCTCTCTCTCTCTCACTCTTTCTCTCTCTCTCTCTCTCTCTCACTCTCTCTTTCTTTCTCTCTCTCTCTCTCTCTCTCTCTCTTTCTCTCTCTCTCTCTCTCTCTTTCATAAAAATTGACATACTCAGCTTAAGTATTCAACGGCTTGTCATAAAATACAAGACGTTTTTAAGTAAACGTTGGGCACAAAATTGTACTTGCACCCAAAAATGGCGACTCAAACGAAAAAAAAGTAGGAATAACGGTCAATCTATGAGGCGAAACCATCTGTGCCTCAATGGGTGCGCGACTCAGCGTAGACTGTTTGAGTGACCGAGATAGCATGAAACTCAAGCGAAAACTCGATTTAGGGCATTTCACTTGTGAGGCCGTTTATCTTGTTGTTTCCTTGCGAATCGCTTTCTCTTCTCAAAAAAGAAAGTCTCTGTTGTGTATTCAACAAACCCCTTCTGACTAACCATTGCCCCAACTCCCCCCGTCCCAAATTCCCAGCGCCGCGCCCCATTGACAATCCGTGAAAATGTCAAAATTGGATATCAACAAACCTGGTTGGGGTCTAGTAGCTCCCTTTAACTCAGCATCCGTTACATTGATCACTCTGTTGCACTCGAGGGGAAAAGGGATGGCCGCTATTAGTGAGAATACCACGATACCAATCATGTTCACCGCTACCACTTTCTTGCTGAAGTTGCGTTTGAAGAAGTCGTACTTAATAACCGCGAAGTAACGAGTCACTGCTATGGACAGAACCAGCGCCCATGAGAGGGTGGGGATGGCACGCCAGAGGTATATTACGGACACACAGGATAAGTGAGTGTAACCCCAACTGGATAATCGGGATAGGGTAAACAGAACTCCGGTGGCATTGCAAAGAGCATCGCAGAATGCCAGCGCACAAGAGTAGATATCCTTGCTTTGTTTGTGTTCCTTCTTGAAGTAGATAAAAGAAGTGAGGCAACACAGAATGACTCCGAGGCCGCTGATAACTAGGCTGGCAAAATAAAAAATATCCTGCAACTCGCCCAAAACGAAAAAGGTTTCATCATAATTAGGACCATCGTTATCAGACATGGTTCAAGTCAAAAGGTTTTTGATGCCGTCCGAATCGTGACAGGAATTTCTGAATTTCTATAGTAAAACTGATTTAAGATTGACAATAGCTAGTAAATTATTTGACAAAGTTATAAAGCTAACCATTTCACATTGTGTTTTATGTGACGAAATCAACTACGAAACATAACTCTGGTATATTTTAAGCCCTTGTACAAAGTACAAGTATCTCTAGATGAGTTGAAACGACTTTTGTAAAAGTACTGCCGAAAACAAACGCAAGTAGTTGGTATCACGAGCTAATGCATTCCCGATAAATATCGAATTAAATCTTTCTTAGATCAAAAGGCAACTCGAGTATTGTATTACAACTCTGACCCCGCATCATTGTCTGAACAGAAAAAGGAAAGCTGGTATCTCCTCTGAAACCTAAAAGGCATCTCTTTCGTTGCCAGATATGATTATCTTCTACCTGCGTACAATGACCAGCCAATTTGAAATATGATTCAACATAAAAATTATATGTTTTCTGCGTTGAGCTTTTTGGTCCAGAAGAAAAGCACCGGGTTTAGGTTTTCGGTTCGGTTTTTGAGCGACTCGACCGGAATGAATATTTGTTACGATCAACTCGCACCCGTGAAAAATGTTCAAATAAGTTTGGCCCATGTGGGAAATGTGGTCTGCTTGAATGAATCGGCTGCTTGAATGAATCGTTCTCAGCGAATCGGCTGAGAACGAACTTGCTTTGAGCGACAGGACGAACAATAATTGTGAATTCTACAATCTGAACATTATTTGAACTCTGAAAACATTTATAATAGTCTCAAAAATTGAACATAACAACATTTCTTTATATCAATGAGAGAAATTAACAAAGATGGCTGGTTTTGTAGACCCGAATACAAAATTCCATTTTCAATATTCGGAGCAACAAGACTGCTCGTATATTAGGATATCAGAACACAGCTAAAAATGTTCCAACTGTTCTTTTTAGTCACTCAAAATGGTTGAAGAAATCATAGTAATGATTTTAAAAAATGAACAAGACTGCTCGTATCACGGCGAAGCCCTGAAAGTACCGACTGCCTTTTACCGTTTATGGAGCAGTAATAACATAAACAACATAAAAAATTTAATGAAATAAAATAAATGATAAACTTTTTTTGTAAAATTTGAAAATTTTTCGATAAAAATCATCACCCCACACGCCATATAAATTACAAAACAATAGATTTCGCTCCTTGTAACAAATCAATTATGGCAAATAGGCTTCTTTCAACCATTTGAAACGATTTCTAAGACGGATTAAATTTCCGCTTACACGTTAATAGCATGTTAATAGCGCGTTAATTGTCCCAAATTGGCCTAAATGGCAACCTTTAAACCCTCATAACTTTACGAAAAATGACACAGGTGAAAGATCTTTTCAAATTTAAGCTGAGGACTACAATACCTTTCGAATGATTTAAAAAAATTCCGTAGAAAATGGCTAGTTAAAAAGTCGAAATTTGTCTGAAGAAAAAAAAACCCACCCCGAGCACAAATATTCCGTTACTTTCGTATCGAAAGTCGGAACAAAAAAGATCACAGGCAAAATATCTATTTAATTTTGAGATCATGAGAACAAAAACTTTCAGATGATAAGAAATTACATCAAAGAAGTTGAGCTTAAAAATCAAAGTTTGACTGAATAAAAAAACCATCCCAACTATAAATATTCCCGACTTTATTCAAAAGGCGGAACAAAAAAACTGGTCGTATATTAAGACAAAACATTGAAAATACTTACAGCCCCATAATCAAATACTTTTTGATTAGAGTGATATCGACAAACCATAAATTATACACTGATAATCCCAAATTTTAAAACCAATTCTAAACCCTTTTTAAAAATAACACATCCGATTAGCTTGCCTCAATTTAATTTAAAGAATTCAGTAGCGCGGTAAATTTCAACCACGCTGAAATAATTTGCGTTTTGTTTTCAGCATTATAAGTGAAATCTTCAAAAATTGCATCTCTTAGTCGAAAGCATGGCCAAAATGGCAAAGTTTAAGTTCCCAACTTTAAAAATAATCATCGGATTTGTTCATCTTTTGTATATTTCAACTCAAGGAGTCAATATATTCTATGTAGTATAAAAATAATCAGTTAAAATTAAATTTTTAATCATCAAGGTTCGTTTGAATAGAAAATTACACCGGCCCAACCGTAACCTTTTTATTCGAAAATCGGAACGATGATAAATCAAATGAAAAAATGTCTAAAGAAAAATTGGTTAAGCAATTGAAAACTGTTTCTTTTTTCATTTTGTCTTCATTTTATCGACTCATACACTGTTAAAATTGTATGGTGATGTTTTTAGCGCCTCAATTACAGAAAGTAAAACAACAAATTTTGCGTCAATTCAATTAGGAACGATTTAATCCACCGCTTATTCACACACAAGAACGCAAAAAACAGTACTTTAAATAAGCTAAATTAGCCAATTTAGCAGTTTTCAAGCGTACGTTTTTATCAATGACAGATGATTTTTATCAGCTCCGAGCAAAACAATCCTACAGATGATTAAAAAATTTCCGTCAAAAACGCTTTTTGGAGAAACAACATTTGACTGAAAAAATAACCGCAAGCATAAATAATTCCATACTATCATCAGAAGGCAAAAAAACAGTGAAAATCAGCGATTCGAAAATCATTGGCCAAATTGGCTACACTAGCACGGAAAGGCTTCAAGTTCATCTGACTGATGTAACATATCAACTGAATTCACAAAATTATTCAATTTATTTTTGTGTGTTTTAGTTTGTGGCGTGAATAAAAAGACTGGGAAAAAAAGTTGTCACATTAGTTTGTCACTGCAATTTTATATACGAATATAAACAAAAAAAAACAAAAATTTTTTAAACAGACTGAAACGGTTTTTGTTTGATATATCACTCATCCCATCTGATGAATTTTCGAGAAACTGATTTTATGAGGAAAACTTTAATAACTAAGAAAACTTAAACACTGACACAAAGACAAAATCCTCACAAATATCGGTAGTCGGAACAGCATTTTTCAGTTATGTTTTACAAACTGACGCTTTTCTGAAGCCAAAACACAATCTAAATAAATTTTCAGATTGTAATCTAAAATGTTCTAAGCTCAAAACTTATTTCAATTTTTCGATACACTGTATGAGTGGTCTGTTTTCACAAAAGAGCTCATCAAATTTTTGAAAAATAGTTGCCACATGTTTTTTGTATGAAGGTGAAAAAAGACACACAGAGTCGATCAAAAATGTTGAACAAAAGTTTCGTATTTTCAAAAAAATTTATAGTTCTGAATATGGTTGTGATGTAATTCTGGTTCGAAAATATCAGTCGTATTGAGGTGCTTATCTTTAGATCCTTCGCTTTTTCATGAGAAGCAAAGTTTCATCTGCGTAACTAAAGCTATTTCCAATCGGTACTCCAATCGAGACAAGATTTAGCGTCTTTTTTTCAACAAAACAATTTTGTGATTTAAAATTATAACTAGGTTTGTATTTTGACCGTGCTCGATGTATCTTCCGACCGTTCTCGAGGTATGCTCAAGATTTGTTCCGACCATGCTCGAGGTATAATTCGACCGTGATCGAGGAATGTTTCGACCATGCACAAGATATATTTCGCTTGTGCTCTAGGTTTGTTTTGACCGAGCTGAACCGTGCTCGACCGTGCTCGAGGTGTTTTTTGAGTTTGTGTTAGAACAAATCCTCTCTCTCGGATATTTTTGGTCGAGCACTGACACGAGTTTTCTTTGAAAGTCCAAACCTTGAATGAGCACCTTGACCCGGTAAGTGACTGAAATACTGTGTTTCTGTTCTGTTACTGAGTATTTTTCTCTCACGTTGGAACCAATAAAAATTATCTATGAGACATGGTAACCAAGACAAATAGCTTCGAAAATGGAAAGTTCTGTGTAGTTAACGCAAATTCTTTTCACTAGGATATTTTCACTTGAATAGCCGAGTAAATTTTTCGAAACTAAAATTTTTTGCCCGTTCAAGTATGTCAAATGGTTCAATGTACTGTGAAGTTTTATACCTATAGTTCGAAAACCTACAAAAGAAAACAAATATAGCGCCGACAAAAAATTGTGAAATTTTTTGGCTCACTTCTCTTTCTGTTCGAGGAGATAGATGTTGTTTTTTTTTTGCTTGGGCTTTATCTTAATAACTGGGCAACAACTGATGATAAAATTTAAATTTTTTTTTAGTATTTACGGCAGTTTAAAAACTTCTTTTCACAATTTAACTGTATGAAAAGTAAGTTGCAATAAACGCATATAAAAATCAAACTTGTTAAAGAAAGTCCAGAAACCCTGAAAGCTTTGACATGTTTTTTTTGCTCGGATGTTTTCGCTCCATAAAAATGATTATGTTTGCTTTGAATGTTTGCTTTTGCTCTCAATTTCCGCAGGGTCAGAATTAAGTCCATTGAGTTATTTTGATACAAGGGATATCAGTAAAAAGACAACCACGTAGTTATACACGTTAGTAAGTACACAAATACTGTTTTAACCAATCAGGGTCAAGATAAGAAAGCAAACTAACAAAATAAAAAAATATTAATTTCAAGCTTTGCTCATATCTCGATTCTGATTGACTAATGTAGTGTTTGTCTACTCACTGCCAAGTATAAAATCGACCTTGCCATGTAACTGCTACATAAAATTTACTGCTATGTAACCAACTTGAGGCATGTAGCGAATCAATGAGAGCGAATAGCTTGCTTGCGAGCGAATAGCTTGCTTGCGAGCGAATAGCAGTTAAATTTGGATTATTTCAGCGCAAACTGTTTCCAAATATTTCAGCGCAAACTGTTCAAGTAGCCCATATATGGTAATTTAGCCGCAAAATTTGGTCTAACTAAAACACCATCTCAAACCTAACTATTCTTTTTAAAATTTGGATCAACAAACTGTGCTTTTTAAAATTTTTTTAAAAACAATTGTATACACAATTCCATGCTTTGAAACACATAGACCTTTCAGATACACAGAACTTTCTTTATAGATTTTACTTACAATTCGTGTACACAAATGTGACATGAAAAGAAAAAATCAATGTTGAAAAATTATATATGTGTGGCAGGCAAATGATGGAAAGAGTAAACTAACAAGTAATTGCCGCTTTTTAGTACTTTTTAGAAAAAACTGACACTTGAGTTTGACTTAATTCCTTCCAATTTTTTTGAATAGACAAGCACCTTGCAAAACGTAA